ATAAATACATAAATAATCAAATAAAGAAAATAAAATAAAATAACAAATAACAAATAAACAAATAAATAAATAAATAAAATAAAGATAAATAAATAAATAAATAGATTGAGAAAAATACAAATAAATGAAAAAAAACAAATAAAAAAAGATAAAAAATGAAAATAAAAAAATACCAAAAAGATAGGCTTGGCTTGACGACTTAAGAGGTGCGAGTGTAGGTACAGAGAATAGTTAAATGTGGCATGGTTCAAGGCTAGTTGGCTCGGATTCAAGGCTGAAAGAGAAGTGGGTTCGCATCAAACACGTGTGGTTTGGATTTATAAATGGTAAAACACGTGAGTTAAAGACAGTTTAAAAGCCCAAATCGATGTCGTTTCTTCCAAGATATGAACCACCAAAATTTGTTTTTTCTTTCGAACTTTCTTTTTCCTCTCTTTCTTCTCTTTTCAACTTCTCTCTCTAAAGAAGAACTTAGTAGTCGAATTCTACAAGTGACACCAAAAAATTCATCAGTCATTAGTATCTTGATCAGAATTTAGACTTCTGGTCAGAACTTCATTGAGATCTAGGAATAGTTGCGAAAACTAGGAATGATCACTGAATTCCTCACCAAAAACTAGGAATATCGTCGGAATCTTGCAGGAATTGATTTTAGGATTTGAAACACTATAAAAGAAATTCATCAGCAAGCGCAGTATTAGAGAACAAGAACAATCAAGAGCAAAAAAAAGGCTTGCAAAAATAAAGTTTCTAGCAATTGAGATTTTTTTCCTAATTTGAGTAATTTTTAGTAAGTTTTGGATTTTTTTTGAATATTTTGGAGTTTGGGCAATAAAGGATATTAAATTCGTGAGGAGATTTAAAGAATTAGGTTATTTAGATATTTAGAAATTTTTGATAAAAGATTGAATTTTTCAACAAGACTTGATTTCTTCTTTGATTTTTAAGCAAATGTTGAATTTTTAGACAAAGGGTTTAAAGTTTTCAATGAAGGGTTAAATTTTCTATTTTAGATTTGCAATTTTCATAGCTAATTTTTGGGAACGTTGTCAAGATCTAGGGATTATTAAGTCTTTTGGCTAGGCTTGGTAAAGAAAAAGGAGAGGAATTAGGTTGAAAAAGGAAAGAAAGAAGGAAAAGTGTAAAAAAAAAAAAAAAGATTTTGTCCGTAAATACTTAAAAGTATATTGCCTACAATGATTGTAGTATAATTAACCAATTATAATTCAGAATTATGTGTGGAACATCAAATTTTATATGGAACCCACAGTTATAAGTGATGGACCCCTATTTAATTCTTTATTGTGATTGGATAATTATAGTATTATAGTAAAAAAGAATTGTTGATGATATACTCTCTAAATACATAAGGCAAAACGGTGTCGTTTTTTTTTTTTTAGTATTTTTTTGATCATGTTTTATTATATTTTAAAAATAAATTGTTTATTTCTATTTTTATTATTTATTTTATTTTTTTAATTTTGTTTAATTTTTTAATTTTGTTTTCTTCATTTGGTTTTTTATGTGATTGGTTTATAATTTAATTTTATTGTTGAAAAGTAATAATGAGGGAAAAAATTTTGATTTTGTAAAATTTTGATTATAAATATGTTTGTATAATTATTTTTTAGTAATTAATTTGGAATAAATGGATATTTCTTTCGACGATGAAATTATAAGAATTGTATGGGCGTTTAATTATTTTAAAAATTTTATGGGTAAGAAGATTTTTTCTAAAATTCAATCAAAACATTGGAGAGTTTTTAAAAAATTTTCAACACTAAGGTTTTTCATTTATTTTGAAATTGATGTTTTCTGAATTATAAAAAAGGAATATAATTATATTGTCTTTCATAAAAATTTAATGACAATGAAGCCTCTTCAAAGGAATGATTATGTATTTTTAATACTTTTTAGGTGATGAAATTTTAATGGTTTTAATCAAAGTGTTAGAGAAAAATAAAAATATTTCTAATATTTAAATATCAAGATTAATAAAAATAAATTAAAATAAAAATAATTTTAATTAAGGCTTAAATAAGATATCAAAAGATTAGTTAGTATCAATTTATAGGCATTATGGGATACTAAAATCTGTCACACGTAATCAACTTCCAAATTTAGTTCTATTTAGAAGATATATATTTAAAAAAATATATTTACTTTAGTGATTAATCATACATAAATAAAAGAAATTAGCGATAACTTTATTTTTTGCATTTAGCAATCGGATTAGCGAATTTGCATGTTATGACACTAATTTGTGAAAAACATTCTCAATAATTTGACTGAAGCTGCTTTTAGGTGGGGTAAGAAACCATGGCTAATATTGTAAACTTATGTGGCAGGTGTTTGAAAGAATAGAAGTAGCCAATTCTTTTCAAGAAATATAGTTATACTTTTGCCAAATTGTGGTATCACCAAAATTAAAATTTCAATGGATTTTATATGAATTAACAACTTTGATGGTATCGATAGAAAAACATACATAAAATATCACTTAAATACTATACAGATAGCATACAACTCTGGTGAAAACAAAAGTACGGCAAAGAAATGAAAAATTCAACAAATTTAAGATAATCCACATTAATTACACAAATTTCATATAATTATCTAAAATTCCTTTTAAATTATACAAATTCAGCATCAATTCCACATAAATTTCAACTCTTTCAACACAAATTTCACATAAAAATATTACTCATATTTAAAAATTTAATGGAAAAAAAATAACCAAGTGTTGTTGAATGGTAAGACGAAATAACTAAGTTATTGTTGTATCCAAAGTCCTGCAAAATAAAAATATAAAAAATAACCACAAAACAGAAATTAAATTTTAAAAAAATTAAATAATACTATATTAAAAAAAAGACAATGTCAAAATAACAAAAAAATTAACAAAACATAAATTACATACAACTCCAATTTAAAATTTAAAAACAAAAGAAATTAGAAATAAAAAAAAAAAACAAAAAACAATTTAAGGGTTTACTAAGGAAGATTTGGCCATTTGGGGAGAAAAGTTGGGGGGATTTGTGGGGTTTGATTTGGGGTGGAGGAAATCGACAAGGGTGTCAATAGCTTGGTGATTTGGGGTTCAATTTGAGTCTAGTACTATCCAGTTGTGGTTGGGGATGCTGTCAACGATCAAAGGTATCGGATGTGGCTTGAGTTGGCTTGAGTAGCTTTTGTACGATGGAGGGTTGGGGGCGGGGGCAAGAGCGAGGAAAGAAAGAAAAAATAAAGAAAAGAAAGGAAAAAAAAGAATATGGGAAAATTATAGATGATTAGGCATTAGCGATGGAATTCTGTCACTAATGCCTTATCATTTTTATAAAATTATATTTTAATGCGATTGACTTCCACCAATAATGTTGAAAGATAAAACAAAGGGATTGAAAGCCATTAGCAACGTAATATCATCACTAATTATATAACATAAAGATCTTAAAATTTCATTTTTAGGTAGAATTGATTTTAGGGAAATTAGCAACGGAATTTTTGTCACTAATAAAAAATAAAAATTTCAAAAAATTATTTTTCTTAAAATAAAAAATGATTTAAGAGAATCAACGATTACTTTAGTAATAACAAAATAAAATATCAAAAATAATTTTATTTTCTTAAAATAAAAATGGTTTAAAGGTATTAACGATATAATTGGCATCATTTTCAAAATTTTGGGGCACTCTAATTAGCAACGAAATGTAGTTTTCCTCGGCAATTTGTTGTTTTTTAACTACAGAATTCCAATGTTTCTGTCACTAAAGTAAAATACTATTCCACTTAAATCCATCACTATTCCACAAAAAACCGAATGCTAAAATAAATTTTAGCGATGGAAGAATTCTATCGGTGTTTTTTTGTCATTATTGACATGTTTTCTTGTAGTAAGCATTGTAAGGTTCATAAAAAATTATATAAAGACCATATATTTAAGTGGTGATCCTTTATATATTTTATATTATAATTAATCAACTGTAATATTACAATAAAAAGAATTATATGTAAAAAACTCCTGCAAAAAACTTTTTAATAAAACCCGAAGATCGAAAATTCCTGATTTCTCTCCCTAATTTCAGGGCAAAACTAGAAAATTGTGGTAAATAAAACCATTATTTTGTTATCCTTAATTTGAAACATATTTTATATTAGAGAAATGGAAATGGAAAGAACAACCGTCCATCCATCTCCAGCTGAAGCCAGCTGGCGGCGTTCAAAAAGTCCACCGCGTGACTCTTTGATAATTTCCTTTCTCTTCATTTGTAATTTTTTTTTCATATCCTCTTAGAATTTGCCTCCACATATTCTTTCTTCATTTTTTTATTTCGAATTTAATAGCACATTGAGATTTAATTAATAGTATTGGAAAATCGACATCCTATTTCTTTCTTGCCTAATCTTGTTCATACTTTCATTATTGTTTTGCATACACGTGATAAATTTATTTTTTAAATGAAGCATTAACTTGAGATTAAAAAATGGATTAAGATATTAAAATTTAAATTTCAAACATATTGGATTAAGAATAATTATATAAATTAATATAGATAAATTTCAAGTTTGATAATTATATAAGTCAACCAAAATTGATCAAACAATTTTTATTTATAATTTTTGAATGTTTATTAAATTTTAATTTAAAAGATTACTTAAAAGAAAGTCAATTACGTGATATATAGAACATTGAACTCATAATTTCAGTAATTAAGATTTAAATTCTAATAGTGCTATAAAAAAATTATATTATAGATAAATATGAGTTCATAACAGTATGATATTAGAGGAAAAGTGACAAAGATGAAATGATGGAAGGTAGGTAGTTGAAGCAACAAAACTATGTTATTTATTAGACGCATTTTATAGCATTGCCTCACTTTGTAGCATGGTCTTTGTTACATACCAAGTTTGCTGTGGCAGCAATAACAACAACTCCAACCTTTGTAATTTTATTTCCTTTTTCTCTTTCTCCCATTTCTTTTGTTTTGCCTATATGTAGTTATGAAGGGGAGGCTGATTTTCCTCCTCTTGATGGTCTTGATTTTCAGCGTTCAAGGTCGAGAACAATATTCCAATTCCATCGTATTGGAGCTAACACATAGGCATGCCCCTCAGCTCAACACCAGGACTAAAACTCAGGACCAACGCCTCAAGGACCTTCTTCACCATGACTTTATCCGCCACAATATCATCTCCCACAAATGGCGCCAAGGCCTTCAACCAAGAGCCAGAACCAGAAGAGTCCAAGCCTGGGAGCAGACACCCATCACAACAGCAACAACAAGCAATTTCACTGCTGCCATTGAAATGCCACTTGGCTCAGGTAGAGATATGGGAATAGGCCAGTACATTACATCGGTTAAAGTTGGGACGCCATCGCAGAAATTTAGGTTGATCGTCGACACAGGGAGCGATTTAACATGGATCAATTGCAGATATCGTTGCGCCCGAAGTGATAATTGTCCCAAAAAGGGGAGGATAAAGGGAAGGAGGGTGTTTCATGCTCATTTATCTTCTTCCTTTAGGCCAGTTCCTTGCTTTTCACAGATGTGTATGGTTGAGCTTATGAATCTTTTCTCTCTTACAACCTGCCCTACTCCACTTACTCCTTGCGCCTATGATTACAGGTACATTCACTTCCAATCTTGATTACACTAAAATTAAGGAGCATTTTCAAGGTTTTATGTTGGGTTCCAAAAAATGGTTCAGTTAATAGGACTATGACACCTCGAGAATCCAATGTTGGTAATAGTTGAACTGAGCTTGGATTTTTTTTTTTTTTTTTTGCAAGTTGTTGGGATTATAATTGCTTTCCTTAGCTTAGGTAAATCCAAATTCACTTGAAAACCAATAGCTGGAAAATCAATACTGCAGTAATGGTTATTCAGGTAGAGAGGATCTATGCTACTCATATTCTGTGTGAGTGTATATGTTTCATTTTTTAAAAAAACAATTTTTATAGATTTGAACATTCTCTTTTTTTTTTTAATCCATTTTCTTTATTTAATTGAGATAATATTATCAACAATTATCATAATACAATTAATTAATTATAATTCAAGATTGTGTAGGATTTATAAAAAATTTAAGTGAAGTTCACAGTTTCTAGTAGTGGATCCTGATATAATTTTTTTGTTATGATTGATTAATTATAGCATTATAATACAATGAATTGTTGGTAAAATTCTCACTTAACATTCTTAAAAAAAAAAAATTGAAGCAACATAGAGGACGAGAAAAAAGAAAAGAATTAACTAAAACTAATTTGCATTTTTATCCCATTTTATCTTCCTCACAGTAGGTGTAGTTCAGTTTGAAAACCCAACCTAAAATGGTGTGCATATGCATTTTCAATTAAATTTCCAGAGTTGGCATTGGAAGTTAGAGCCTTTGAAGGTAAGTGCTGTTGGGAGTTATTAATAGCTGGCTGCTTAGGCTCTTCGTGATATTTATCACCAATTACGGTGATAGCTTCTTTTGATCACAGCCACAAAGTTGTGGCATAAAATTCGATTGAGGTCCCAGCCTCATTTGTAGCTTGGCATTAAATGCAGTCAAACAAACAATAGAAAATTGAAACCCCAGGCTAGGCTAAGCCTCATCCAAAGTCGCTAGCTGTCTTGATAGTGTAGTTAATACTGATTCGGAAAACAATATAAATTGTCTCAGCTTAAGTTTGCAGGTCAGCCTACCTGCAGATGCAATAACCCATTGCTCTCTTAGCTACATCCAACACAAGATATTAGTGGTAGTTATTGTTAGTAGGTAAGGTTCACGTGACCCAAAATTTTGGTTCCAAAACAGTACCTTGTACTCTAGTGGGCTCGGATTAAATATGGTAATTTGTGTATATTTTTATTTCTTTCATATTAAATAAAAATAAAATATAAAAATTATTATATTATAATCATATCAACATGTTAAACATAAAACATAAATTTTAATTTATATCAAATTCATATATGATTTTTGTTAATATTTTAAATAATATTATTTTCATATTATATTATAATATCATATTTAAATTTACCAAATTTAAATAGGATGGAAAAACTAATCCTAGTGTTACTGGAGAAATGCGTATGATTTCTTAGTGGTGACATTAAAACTTGTTTTCAACAGGTATATAGATGGGTCTGCTGCAATGGGCGTCTTTGCTAACGAGACCGTCACTGTCAGCCTCACCAATGGTAGGAAAAGGAGACTACATAATGTGCTAATTGGGTGCAGTGACTCTTTCCAGAGCCCAACTTTGCAAAATGTTGATGGTGTGATAGGGTTGGCTAATAGCAAGTATTCCTTTGCAACAAATGCTGCGGAAAAATTGGGTGGAAAGTTCTCTTATTGTCTGGTTGATCACTTAAGCCACATAAATGGCTCCAATTATCTCATCTTCGGTACAAATCATAACCAAGTAATGGTGACGGGCAATACCCACTATACCAGGCTAGAGCTCAATTTGGTCAGTTCATTCTATGCTGTAAATGTCATGGGAATCTCCATTGGTGGCAAAATGTTGGATATACCATTTCAAGTATGGGACACAACCAAGGGGGGTGGAACAATCCTTGACTCCGGCACCAGCCTGACAGTCCTAACTGATCCAGCATACCAGCCAGTGATGGAAGCAATCAAGATGTCAGTTTCGAAATACCAAAAAGTGAAGTTGGATGGGGTACCAATGGATTATTGTTTCAACTCTACTGGTTTTGATGATACTTTGGTACCAAAATTGATTATTCACTTTGCCGATGGAGCTCGGTTTGAGCCTCACCGGAAGAGCTATGTCATTGCTGCTGCTGACGGAGTTAGGTGTCTTGGATTTTTGCCAGCACGTTTTCCTGGAACATCTGTTATTGGAAATATTATGCAACAAAACTACTTATGGGAATTTGATTTGGAAGGGAACAAATTGGGTTTCGCTCCATCAGCTTGCAGTACTAGCTAGTTTTTGTTTCCAGAATGTTACTAATTAATTCTTTGGAATTCCTTAACTTTTCACTCGTTGCTCTCTCCTGTTTTGATTTATGATTTTTTTTTGGGATCTTTTACATTTCATGAGATTCTTTGTTACATTGCCTCCTTCACTTGAAGTAGTACATGAATGAGTTAATTATATTTTTGATACTTAAATTTGAAAATATATTTACGAATTGATATCTAAAAATATAAAATATACAATTTGTTATTTAAAAACAAGTATAATTTATATTTTGAATTTTCAAATTATGTATCATATTAATCAAAAGTTAATCTCACTAATTTATTAACTTATACAATAATGTTTGATAAATATTATTAAATTATGTATTCATCACACATGCTATAAATATTTTTTTTTAATATCAATAAAAATTATATATTTTTACTTGAATCATAAAAATATTTGTCTGATCAATTATTGTTTTTGAAGTGACATCCACAAAAAAATTTTTCAAAACATTTAACACTTTTGTTTAACAAATTATAGATAATAATAAAATTATACTAGTTATATATCATAAAGGTGAATTAATTTAATAATATTAAAATTAAAATTAAAATGATATATTATTTCAATATATAAATTGTACATTTTATTTTTTTAGATATTAATTTATATATTTTTTTCAAAATTCAAATACTAAAATTTTAATTAACTCTATTTGAATTTTAACTTTTTGCGATCAAAGTTTTTGATCTTGATATTTGATATTTAAATCTTTTATTTTGAAAATGACTTTTGAAAACTTTTTTTTTTATATTTTACTTAATAATATATTTAAAATAAAATAAAATCAAAATTTTTTAAAAAAATGAACATTGGAAATCAAACTAATATAACATTTATAGAACCAAAAGAGAATAAACTTTTTGAGTGTAAAAGAGTGGAAGAAACACTTATAATTTTAAAGTTTTAGGTATTGGCATTAGAGATGAGAAAAAAAATTGAGAAAATTAAAAATTGATAAGAAATTATAATTTTTTATTCAGATAAAATTTTTTTATTTGATTTTGATTAAATTTGAATATTAAATGTATATAGTATGTTCAGATCAAATTTTAGATCGAAAAGTAAAAAATTAAAAAAATAAACTGAATCAAATTATAAAATTTTGTTAGCTTATATATATTTTAAATTTTTATAAAATAAAAATAATTATTTGATATCTAAAACTATTTAAATATATTAAAAATTTATATTAAAATAATATATAAAAATAAAAAAAAATTAAAAATTCATAAATTAAACCAAATTGATAAAATTTGAATCGAATTGGATCAAAATATATGAAAAATCGATTCGAATCTGAATCAAATTTTAAAAATTTATATTTTTATATATTATCTAAAAAAAATTAAATCAAATTCGATTTTATACGGGTTATTATCACCTTTACTTGTTATCCTTAATAGGTTCTTTCGATTAATCTAACGAAATTTGCTGGATGATCATCCAAAACATAACATAATGAGTATCAACTTAACTAAAAACTCATCAAATAATCAATGCTAAAATTTACTTTTTTGAGTATACGTTGAATTATATAATCTCAAACTCTATTAATAAAGTGTTGATAATGATAAATAACAGGATAAAATTTTTTTTTTTTGCACGAATAGAGCATGTAACTTTTTCACCGCTAACAAAGAATCTTACTTAATAATTTGAGTATTTCAATCAAACTGCAATTGTTACCCACTTAAAGTGGACATCGGAATTAGTGGCTTGGCTGCGAAAGTCAAGTCAAAAAAGCTATCATCAGAGTGGATAGTCAAGAAAACTGTAATTCTCATCCACTTAGGTGTGTCGACTGATGGCCATTCATTGTATTTTGTCAAACGTGATGGTTTCTTGTTTTTACACCTAGAGAGAGTATTAGAGAAGATATCAAAGAAATCTTACATAAGGTACATTGACCTTATAAATATAATAAGATCTCTTTTTTTAATGCTAAATAATTTTAGGTTGAATATTTATTTAAAATTTAACGTGATATTACAACAGATGCAATTTCCTTTCATTATTTCCTTCCTAATAGATTTATTATATTTACAATACGAAGTTCATATAGAATACATGATAGATCCATTATATCTGCACTTGAAATTCATGTCATTTGATGAAATTCATTAAAAGACTCGATCGACCCTTTCAAGTGTCAATTGGTTATGCGCTTGGCAAAATGATTTCAAATTACAAATATCAACTCTTCTCTTAAACCTACTAATGTAACTTTGGATTGAACAAAATTGAAATACTGAATTTTGAATTAAGATATAAAATTTGATACTTACAATATATCTTTTCTATTGAGTCTTTAATCAAGTGAAAATCAAAGTTGTGGTAAGAAAATTTTGCAAATCAAGTATGACAATGACAAAATGAAGAGTTTTGATGAAACCCAAATGCGGGCCAACCAATATAAAGTACTAATACTTTTCTTTCTTTTTTCTTTTTATTTATTCTCTTCATTTCAAATTTACCATAAAATAAAAGAATATAAAAATTTTGGAACTTTCTAAAAAATATAAATTATTTTTTATTATACACAATTTACACAAACATACAGAAATTAAAAATAGAAAAAAAAATGAAATATAAAAAATACAAAAAAGCAGAAACTTAAATAATTAATGGAAAATCAATTCAGTTCCTTAACCATTCACCAAATTGCTTAGGAATGGTCATTTTGTGGTGCATCTGAATTTTTCTTCTCTTGTTTGGAAAGTTAATTAATTATAAACAATGTAACTATCTTTAGAACCAAAATTTGAGAATATGCTTCTAGTAAATTTGAAAATTTGAGGAATGGCTCAAAAGTATGTAACGGTACTATTTTTCTTAAGGTTTTATTTGTTTTCACCATATTATTTATTAATGGGTGTGCAAAATTGTTGCAAGTAACAAATCTAAAAAATATAATAAAACCCAATGATTGATTGTGTTTTGCATTTATAAAATCAATTTATCAAGAATTCATTAATCTATTACGAGATCATTGAATTTCTATAAAGAAGTTATGCAGCAAAACTTTATAAAAGATATCTAAAAGATTTTTGAAGAAGGAAGAAGAGCTTTGCAAATTATTTCTATATCTTTTTCAAGATAACAGAGGAGTTTATATGATTAATTAAGTATTTTTCATTCTTTTTTTGAATAAACAGAAATTATTTATTTTTGAATAATTAAAACTGTGTATTTGAACATATTTATCTATTTGTTTTGTACAAACTTAATTATTTTTTATTTTTTTTTCAAACAAATTTAATTAATAGATAATTTTTACACTTTACTCACTTAAGTCCAACTACATTAAATTTCTACTCCTTTTAATCTAAATGATTGTCTTATCTTTTCCTTTTCCAATCAGAAATTACTTCTCATATTTTATTTTGAAAATCTTTAACAACTATAAATAGAGATTATGCAGAATCTTACGCGTTACACATAAGAGAGTCCAAGTATTTGTGAATGGTCATCTTGTGCCCAGTGTTGAGTAAGTTGTCTAGTTTGACAATCATTTATCGCTTGTGCATGGTTATATCATGCCTGATACTTTCTGATAAAATTGCCTAACTTCTTGGGGACTTCGTCGAGGTTCACCATGCTTTTTACCGTTCTTGTTGGCACCCCAAACGGTATGACAGTCATCATAAAGAGTTATAGCTACTGCTTATTAGTATCTAGGTACACCTGTTCGATCTATGATGCGTTTCCCATGTCCCCAACAGTTTGCCAAACTCTGTTTGCAAAGGGGTAGTCTTTTAGTATATACATGCATGACAGTTTCTTCTACTTCTCCATATCAAAAGTAAATCTTATCCACGTTGAGCTTTCTTCTATCAAGATTTACCATCACTGGTAACATTCCATGATATATCCTCCAGCAAAGAACCTTAGTTACCGAAATCCTCCTCCATTTAAGAAGTTGCTATCATTAACTGGATCTATCACACTCACACCTTGCTTTCTCCAACGCTTTGCAGTTACATAACAGTTTATTTCCACTCCTAACTGTTAAAAACCTTTGCTATCATAATACCAAACCGGTACATCAAGCAATCCTAATCTACTAACTGGTAATGCACAAATGGCATCGCCTTTTGCGAGGGAAAATGTTATGAATCAAGTCCTATCGCCATTATTTAGTCTACATGGACAATGCTATTTTCATCCATATTGCCCTACCGAGAAAGAATCATAAAAGAACTCAAAGTTGGTAATCATTTACCTTTCCAAATCCCGACAACTGTCCATTTCCATCCCTTTATCTGACACCTTTATCTAGAACCTCCTTGGCAGACCAAATGCTTCTCCATGTTAACAATGGTTGTTGCCCGAGTCTTGACTTAAGAAAAGAACAGCTTGGAAAATACTTAGCTTGAAGAACTTTATAAGCCAAAGTATTTGTTTCTTTCAATAGTCCCCACCCCTACTTGCCAAGTAATATATTGTTAAAGTTCATCGCTAGTTGTTTCTTCCTCCACAACTTTTGCCAGGTTAGCCAATGTATCCCCTTTATAAACTCCTCATTTTATCTGGGGGTTTTATGAAAAATTTGAATTAATAGGGCTTAATTCAAGATCATCTTAAGCTGAGGCTTTTGGTTCTAGACTCCAAAGTGTTAATTGAATTTGAAATAAGGATCTTATGATTTCCTTTGATCTCGGGATTTGTTAATTTGAATTTGAATTTTGATTGGATTTTGATCCCAATTAAAATTGGCTTTTCCAATTTATTTTGTTATTACCTTTATTTTCATTTATTTCATTTCTTACCTTTTATTTTTCTTTTGCTTTAATGAAATTAAACGGTGCTTGCGCTTCATAGTTGGTAATTTAGATACAAACATTAGGAAATGAGAATGTTGCAATCAGAAAACATGGAATTTTTATATCACAACTATTTGATTTACAACAGTAATGTAGATTTTATTAGCATTTGCAGTGGTTAAACTGCTTCAC